GGTGCCAGACTGATTCTAGCTGTGCAAAAGCTTTTAAGCTGACCCTTTTATATACTTTCCCTGCAAGTCTTCTTATCTAAGAAAATCAATATTTGCTTAACTTTTAACCACACCCCCTTCAAATGCAACAGGAAGAATTTGAATTATCTTTTATGATCTTGAATATCAAAATTCTGAAGCTAATACTATGTAAGTAAATAAGAGACACGCTTCTGTTCTCTCTGTCATTATTTCTGCAATACCATTTTGTAATCTATTTATACACTGCTTCTTTGATATAACATGTTCCTTTGCTATGGTTTATGTGACATTATTGTTCTGATCTGACAGTTTAAAAAGTCATTTTATTTATCCTTTTTAGTATTATGCCTCCACCACTCATTAAAAAATGGTGGAGGCCATACAAAATATAATCAATAAATGCAGAATTAAGATCATGTCGCTGGAAATAGTTACCACACTGACATGTTTCATTGAAATCTCTGAGATCAAAATAAGTCTCACAGATGAGATCCAGGCCTTACAGTTACAAATGACAAAACGTCTTTAAAGGCAGGAAGCATAATCAGTTTATCCATTGATTTGTTAAAGCTGTTGCCACCTGTTCACATATTTCAGATGGCACATGAAATTCTTATTGGAAAGTGATGCAATTTGATAATCTATATCTTTTATTTGCATATGAAAATTCTCAGTTATCCGGGGGTCAATGCAACTATAAAACACACTTAAACTAGAGGCATTGATCTGCCTTTGAGTTAGAAACTACTTACAGTATGAGGATGGACCTCTATAGGTTTTAAATCCCTCCAACTACAGGTTGCTCAGGTGTTAGCACACAGAATTGGCAAGGACTCCTGTATTGGTGTAAAAAAAAATCTCAGTCTTGTATTTATTTCCTACACCTATAGGGAAATAAAAAAAAATGTTTTCTACTCTTGCTTTTAACTCCATCAAATAGTTTTTAATTCCATCTATACTGACTGTAATGATCTGCAATACCCCTTTACCATGGGACCGGTGTGAGTAGCTCACAAATTGTCTTTTTTCCTTTTTACAAATGATAATTGCACCTCCACAAACCTGCAGTAAAGAAGCACTAACCATTCAGTGGGTGGGTTTTCAGCTTAACCTATCCCAGGCTCCTCGTAATTCATGGTCTGTGGCGTAAACACGGTGCATCTGAAATGCATAGGAGTGAACTTCTGGTGTGAATTCATTTTATGGCTGATTCCCATTTAGACATTTTAGCATCGCAGGCCAAAAATATGAAAACATTTTGCTTCTAGTTATATGTGTAAAACATTAAGGGTTGTCTGATTTTTGTTTGTCTTTTTACTTCCTTTTACTAAGACCTTTATTAATGTGGCATCTTGACCTAAAACTGCTTTTACATGTTGCTGGTGAATACCATAAATTTATCCAAATGACATTAGTAAAACTGTCCTTCTTTGGATATCATAATTTACTGCAAGTGGTGTCAGCGACTAGGGCAAAAACCTCTGGAAACCAAGACAGATGATTAGTGACCAGGTTAGCTTTACAATGTGCATCAATCACAAACGTAATGGTCACTAACCTTCTCTTAGTCCTCAGTCTGGGAAGAACCATGAGATTAAGTTTGTGCTGGTCGACAGTAGCACTGATGTTGCTGTTACTGGTCAGGAAGTCCCAAAGAATAACCCCTGCTGAGTTATGATGATCAAGCATATGATTGTCAGGCAGAGGGTCAAAACCTTTGGGAGAATAGTAGGCAGGAGGAGAATATGTAGTCAGGAAAGGGGTCCAGGGTCAGAGCCAGGTGATTTAGAAGTCCAATGAAGCACCAGAGGGAAATCCAGGAGTAGGGTGAGAAACAGTTCTAGGTTAGGGAACAGCGAGCCAGACAAACAGATCAGGGTCAGGCAGGACATGCAAGCAGTCATGTCAGACAGGGATCAGGCAGGGTCAGAAACAGTGAAAGATCAGGTCAGGCAAACAGGCAGGAAGTCAGGAATCATAATGCTGGAATAGATCTCACCAATGGCTTGAGATAAAATGACACTGATGTTGGTCTGAAGGTTGGTCATATACTGATAGGTGCAGGTCCATCAGGTTAGTAGTAATGAGAATGGGGTGGAGCTGATCAGGTGTGTCTTGTGAGGAATCAGACCAGCATCAGTCCTAAGATCATGACAATCAGTTATTCTGACTAAGTGGACTGCACACTGCAGCTCTATAAAAGTATGCAGAAATTGGTCAGTCTATGCATGATGCAAACAAATCAAACTTGCTATCTTAGTGTTAATCTAGGGCTTTAATAGATCTTAAAAGTCAGTCATTATTTACAAAAATCTATATTTTTTAAAAGCTGCATCTGTTAAGCTTATGTGTTTTTAACCTGTATCTTCCCTTTTCAGGCCACACCAACCTAAGCCAATGTGGGCTCAATTTATGAATGTGAAAATTTCTCACGATCTGTTACATTCAAGCTCTGATTATCTTTCTATTGATCTGTTCAAATTTTCTTTGAAAATTTCCCCCTTTCAATTCTATAACTGAGTTTTTAGACTCAGGACATTTTAAACAGAGCCATGTGCTTGGTTTTACACAAATGCAATCATAAAATCACAAAATCTGTATCATCAATTCAACCAATAATTAAACAATCTAATTATAAATCTAACTTGAGTTTTTTTCCTATTTATTTAGGGATCCGTAATTTAACAGCATTTCAATCTGAAAAACTCACACGAAGAGAAAAGACAATTAGAAGAAATGTATTGATACAATTACTCTGTCTTTAGCACTGTTGTGGGGAAAAAGTATGCAACTATTCACCCTAGTTAAATAAACAGAGATCGATGGATTTCACACAGTCAGCACATTTATTCATATCTTTGCAAAGAGAGAACAGTTCAGCATACAGCCCTTATGGCACAGCATTCTGCCCTGTTCTGATCTGGGCAGCATTCATTCCCCCTTACTTAGAACAATTTAAAAGTAGTCAGAGTCGAAACAATTTACAGACACTTTGGTTAATACAGTAGTAACATGTTATAAATAAACCGTGAGAAAGAATCTGGTTTGTTTTGGGAAGAAGCTATGTCTGGTCTACAAAACCAATGGTGTGGCCTTAAAAGTGAAACAGACTCAGTGAAAACTTTTATAGTGAGTAAATAGGATAAATTAATATATAATAGAAGAGAAATCGAAATTTTCCGACATCAGCGCTTAGACCTCTGCAGGAAACATAGCGCTGAATTTTGATAGATCTGCATGAACAAGAGCAGAGAATAGGGCTGTTTCCCCTCCAGGCCTGAAAATGGTGGTGGACTGGAGATGGATGACGTTGCTCAGTCTGTAGACTGCTGGTTAGTGAGACGGTATGCTGCGCTTTATGGGGAGATCCAGTGGACTGTGTAAGCCTATACTAGAGCCTCACTCAGGGACCTGGAAGATGGAAGTCCAGTTGGATAACACAGGTTGAGAGAACCTGTCCATGATGAGCAAGCATGAAGCAACAGTGGAGAGGAAAAACTTGGGAAAAAACCTCTTGCAGAACCAGGCTCAACATGGCTCCCTTCTGTGAGACCGGTTGAAATGAGACACGGAATGCAGTAAGAGTCCGGGAGTAATCAAACTCTGATGAAGTTTTAGCTACGATGGTGGAGGAGGTTGGAGGTGGGTTGAGACAGGGTAATCTGTATGAAGTCACACAGCCCAACCACCGCCTGCTGCGCACTAGGCAGCAGACAAGTTACAGATCAGAGGCCTTTTAAAATGAATGTTGGATGCCGATTGGCTTTCATGGAGGTGTGGTTCAAAGCTGATTGGCTGTGTCGTAGGTGGATGTAGGAGAGCAATCAGTTTCTTCAGTTAAACTTCCGCCTAGGCTCCATTTGAGATAACCGTCATCTTATTACCGCTACTGTGAATGATGACAATCCTCAGCAAAGATTAAAAAGGTGCTCTGAGTTCCAGGATAAAAAAGAAATAAAAAATTATGGGAGGTCACACCCCTGAGGACATGGTTTGCATATGGACCATAGGAACATGTCCCTGCCAAAATTTTGGTTCGACCTACTCGTCACTGCCAATAATTCGATGTGAACAACATGTTTATAATTTACAATACAGCAGTGTTGCAGCATTCACTTCTTTTCCTCTTTTGAACCATGTTTCACCTACATTGTTTACCTTTTGATCATTGCTATACTTTATAAATGGAAATCTGCATTTTCAGTGCTCACTGTCAGAAAGCTGTATAGAGGAAATTTTGTTTTGTATACACAATATGTATACAAAATGAAAGTAAAGTTTGTCTAAATCTATGTCTAGTCTTTTTTAATAATCATTTAATGTATTTATTAACAATAAACGTTGTATATTTGATCATTGTACTCCCACTTGTATTCAAAGTAACAAAAGAGTCATCAAAATGTTTTTGAATTTTACGTGATAAAAGGTAAGTGCATAGTTACTTTGCCTAGTAAGTTACTTGAACTGAGCAGTAACTGAGTTAATAACTATTGCCAAATGACTTTGCAAATGTGCAGTGATTAAAATCCCCAATAACACAGTTCCCCTGCAGTACACACACAAACAGATAACTGCTGTTTCCTATTGCAATGACAAGTGCCAATCAGGTGTCAGTCAAACAGAGTAAATTTCTTTCTATTCCCTTTTCTTCCGCTTTATCCCGGGCCAGGTCGTGGAGGCATCAGTCTTTTCTTTTTTTCCCCCCCAGCGTTTCATTGCATTGACCGTAAAATGCTAAACGCTGGACAGATGATAAATCTGTCCAGCGTTTTATTGTCATTGCACTTTCACAAGTTTAGGGCAACGGATTTAACTCTCTGCATTTAACCCATCCCTTGCGCAGCAGTGGGCTGCCATTGTGCGGAGCCCAGGGAGCATTCTGGGAGTTAGGGGTCTTGCTCAGGGACCCAGAGGGGCAGTCCATGGGGAGTGGGATTTGAACTCAGGATTCCTAGCGCAATACCCTAACTTCTAGGGTGCCACTCCCCAAAGCAGGCGTTAGCGTAAAGAGTCTTGCCTAAGGACCCACACTGGCAGTTCATTCCCCCCAGCTGGGATACCCATCCTGCGAACAGGCTTCCTGATTGCATTATGTATGACTAACCTGTTGAGCTAGCCAGCCGCTAAGCAGAGCAGCGCAGACTTCCCGATCCACACACAGCTCCTCCAGCTGGGGGTCTTCGAGGCAACACCAGGCCAGCTGGCCATGCCAATAGGACATACCTGAAACACCTCCAGAGGGAGCAGCTTTCAAACAATTCTGTGAGATCTTTACTCAGTAACCCTTTTACGAGAATGACAATGATGGAAAAAATCCATGTAAAAGAGCTGGGACCTGACAAGCCTGAAATAAAATTAACCAAGAACCAAGGAAAAAGCTAAATCCTACTACCGGACTTTTAACAGGAGTTGGTTACAGCGTAAGGCGTGGTTGACAGCCTGTGGGAAAGCTAATGCACTTTTTTGTTGTCCCTGGATTCTTTTTAAAAGTGACTGCAGTGATTTGAAATGGACACAGTTTGAACAGTCAGAAATACTTAAAACACCTATCTGACAGGTAGGACTGATTTAAAGCACTTATTTTTAGAAAAGCCAACGAAGAATAAACAGGCCTGAATCTGGGATTCACATGGAAAATAATATAATATAGTGTACTGCTTCTAGACGTTTGTTAATTTGACACCAAAAATAAACTCTTAAATAAAAATATTCTCAGAAAATAAATAGTTTTTATATATAAAAAAAAGTATAAAGCTGACTAATAGCTTCTCCATTATTAAACTTGCACATTATTTTTTTACACCGTATTGGACCATGCAAAATACAGATGTACCTCTGCATCAGAAAGGCAAAATGTATGTACAAAAAGGAAACCTGTACATTAAATTATGATACGTTTTTATTAAGTGTTTTTACAATGTTTTTTGTTGTTGGCATTCATATAAGTATGATCTGAGGTTTGATTATCAGCCAGATTATCCTGGAGTAGACCTTACCGTGGAGGCTGAGGAGTGTGATCCCTCTGTAGTCGGAACACACCCGATCCCACTTTCAATCCAGAGATACTAACCCTGACCGCCGTGCGATATTGCTGACACATGTCAGCCAAGACAACCAGAGACTTAAGGTACTTGGACGAATCTCATCCACCCCTGGGGCATGGCCACAGAGAAGCTTTCTAAGTATCTCAGTGACTTCAGCCTGGCCGATGGGCAAGTCCGTCTCTAAGTCCACAGCCTCTGCCTCCTCCTTCTGAAGAGGTGAAGATGGGATTGAGGAGATCCTCGAAGTACTCCTTCCACCGCCCGACAACTTCCTTGCATTGAGTCGAGGTCCGCAGCGTCCCAACCAAAGTGTAAACAGTGTTGGTGAAGCACTGCTTGACCCTCCTAAGGCACTGGAAAGTGTAACCCAGACCTGAATTTTTGCCTCAGCAACCACAGGAGCTGCAGCATACTTGGCCTGCCAGTACCTCTTAGCTGACTCTGGAGTCTCACTAGCTAACAAGCGGACGTTGGAGAGCAGGATTGATGGAAGCCAAGGTTTGTGGGGATTCCTCCTTAGCTTCACAGTTAGCCCCCTCTGCATCATCGCTTTCTCCATCTTGCATATCTCTTCCTCCGGCAGTTACGTTCCGCTGTTGTTTTGTTGACATCCGTCCGTAGCACTCCGCAGTTTTTTAAATGGTCAAAAATGTCTGGATTTAAAACATTTTGAGACTGTAGCTCCAGCAGGCATTGGATATCTTAGATGCAGGTTGACTGGCATGCATGGTGGATAGATGCCTCTCACTAAAATCAGATGAGGGCAGCATTTTTTTGTGATCAATGTGGTGCATAATTTTGAGTTGTAGATGTCACTATCGTTCTAACTGATTTGTTCATCGTCTGCAAGAGCTTCAAACAGGCTACATTTGTAGCCAAGGTCGTTCCCAAAATAAATGGAAAGGTGGTCATGCTGAGTTTTGCAAAAGCAGTCCTCATTGATATTGTAAAGACATTAAATTTACAATGTTCTCAATATTATATCCATACAGTGAAAGAAAACAGAACTGCTGACCATTTAGAAAAATTACTATCATGGCCACCATATGCTTCAGGTATCCATTTTCATTTTTTTTTTACTGTATTTTGCTGTAGATGAACCATTGTATGGTCGTTTTTAAGACAAACTGCACAATGTTTTCCTGTTTCTGAGACAGGCTACTACATTATCTGGACATTGTCACCTTATGCAACAAAGAGGCAGAAGCATCATACAAACATCAAACAATTAAGCATTTTGAAAACCATCAGACACCCCTGTAATCTGCCAACGTTAAGAATGTGAATCCTATCAGCCATTAGTTATGGAACTGAAGCTAATTTAAAGCATACATCTCTGTATTCCTATAATCATTTTTGTAGATTCTCTCTTTCTATGGTGGTTTGTGTTCAAAGAAAAGAGAGCATTGATGTAACTTGATTAGTTTTTTTTATTTACTGCGCAGTTCAGTTGAAGCCTAGAAGCAGCCAGGGTGATCTAAATAAGAAGCACAATCCCTTCACCCACACACTTTGAGCTTGAAGAGTGATTCATTCCAAAAAGTTTGGGCCACAAAAAATGTTATTCTTCAAAGCATGATTGAGCCAACCATGATATTTAGAGATATCAATATAAACATTCGGCACATTTGGGTAGGCGCAGTTAAAGTTGTAGTTGAAAGACACAATCCCAACAGCTATCCCTTTGCACACCAGAGGGCCACCAGAATCACCCTGTAAGAATGAGAATATTTTCAGTTTCTTTTTTAATTATCCAACAATGATTAGACTTTTAATATACTCTTAACATCAAAGGCATACCTGACAGAATCCTTTTTCTGTATTATATCCACCAGCACAGATCACATTGGGTGGAAGCCCATACTGCCACGTCCCATTGCAGTCTTCTTTATTGATGATGGACACGCTGACCACTCTCAGATCGTTACTGATGTTATTGGTTTCAGTTTTACCCCATCCAGCGACAGAACACATTTGATTGTCATGTAAAAAAAAACCAGGCCTTGGAATGCCAATGGTCTTTACTCTGTTGTTAACAGAAACTTTCCTTGAGAGCTGAAAACACACAAAGGGAAAAAAAAAAAAAAACATTTAGACTAAAAAATATCCAAGTTGTGTTTGGACATGACATGTTTAAAAATGACTGTATAAAAATATGTCAACACATCTATAGGTTTTAGCTTTTTTATTAAAAAAAAAAAACAACAACAAACCATTTAGAATATGCACAAACCTTTGTACGTAATTATCACGTGATGCTGCTACTTTTACAGATGAAGTTCGGTGCCAGTTCTGGGTGTACAGTGTTGGCTTGAACTAGACGACCTGAGTGGTCTTGGTCTTGTTTTTTGTAAATAAAGTGTTAAAACCCACTAATTCTTCGTGTGATTATGGATGTGGTTCAAAAGAACCAACATAAGAGTTATGTAATTTGGTGCAGATTCATTTGGTGATTTTTTAACTAACAGAAGGATTTTATAGACCTTTTGTTAATGAAGCAGATATGGGATTGGAAGAAATTATGCAAATATGTACAAAATATTTATGGTGTAGAAAAACATTATACTTGCTAATACTAATAATGACTGACTGTTATGAATTTAGCACAGAATAAAATTTTATATTGTTAACAAGTACTTACTTTGAGAAGCATGATGTCATCGCCATACTTTACAGCCCGATAATCTGGGTGTTTGCATGTGTATTCAATTTTTATTTTCTCTACATTTGAACTCTGGAGATCATGACTTCCCACGACAACCACATCAGGTTTGCTGAAACTATTTAGGGTAAGGAGGTTATTGCTACAGTACATCTGCAACAAATGAACAGAAATAAAACATTGACTTACGAATTACTGCAGTGCGCAGCAGTGACCACAAAGTCCTCAGTGATCAGAAAGCCTCCACACATATGTTTCCCAGCGCTTTGGACTGAGACCATATACTGCATCGAGTTTGCAGGGGCCTTTTCTCCATTTATGATATGACTCCCGTAAACTAAAATTATGTGTAAAAAATAGAGTTAGCTCAGTGACTTGTTAATATAAGAAAAAAAAGTCAGAATTTGTCTTACCTGTTTTTGGGAGAAATATCAGGAGTAAAAGATTAACTTCATTGAAGCCAAACATGTTGTCAGTAAATTGTGCCAGACTGATTCTAGCTGTGCAGAAGTTTTTAAGCTCTTTTATACAATTTGCCTGCATGTAGTCTGATCTAAAAAGATAAGATCTCATGTTGGACCCCATAGAAACCATAAACATTAAATGCGAAAAAAATTTTGGCCCGCAAATACTTGCCACATTGACTCATTTCCTTTAATTCTTTAAGGTCAAAATAAGCCACACAGTTTAGAGAAAAAAGGTATACACAGGCAGCAAACATAAGCAGTATTTTAAATATGTTAAAATATTTCAGATGGCATGCTAAGTCCTTCATGTGATGTAATGTGATTTGAAAAACTATATTTTATTTGCTTATGCAATTTCTTAGTCATCCAAGTTATTTCAATTACAAAAGAGACTTAAATCTGCAACGAGACATATGCTCAGTTTTTCTGAAAACATACTGTATTTAGGAGTCACCTATTCAGGAGTCTTTGTCAATTATTTCAACTTGTACCCGAAAGTCTATCCTCCTAAGGACTTTCCAAGTCGGATGCAAATCCGTCACTAACCCATCAGTCTCCGGGGTTGGTTGAGTGAGTTGTTTTGTATGAGGTTTGTTTTCTTTTTATCCAGGATCGGCTTATTTTGGTCATCAAAGTTCTCTCATATTTTTTCTTCAGGTGCAAGTGCGCAGCTTAATCTTTCTTAATCTGCTATTTCTCCTGCATTTGTGCTACTTTTGTTTGGTTTCTCCCATAGGGGTCCAGACAGTCGATGCACAAGTACTCTCATCATAATTCAAATGGGCAAATAAAACAAATGGCATCTGTTTCTGCTGGGGCTGCTTTAACTGGCATTGAGTTTCCCTTCAAATAAGAAAAAAGAATATCAAAATTCAGACTCATTTAATCAGACCAAAGAATGCTTTTAAGAAATGTAAAGCTCTTAAGAGAGCAGGTGTTACTCCTTAAAGAAAGGAAAAGGGATGAGAAAATGACACAGGGAAACGTATCACTGCTTCTCCATTTACTTGTGTATTGGGTATGGCAAACAAAATACAGAACACAAAAACATCCCTTTCTGCAAATTTTGGCATAAATGATATAAATTGTGCATGCAGTGCGTTTTTAATAGCAACTCAAAAAAACATTTTTAGACATGAAATATTAATATTTTCCAGTCAAAATGATTAAGCAAACACATAACAATCACAAACAAAGCAATGTGTTATTTTTATTGATAGAAATCAAACTATGCGAGCACAAGGTCTCCTGCTGCTAGCAACAGTGTTAGTAATAGTGCCTAACTTGTTAGCTAAACAACTCTCAAGCTGCACATGAGCAGCAAATGCACCACTTAACAGTGCAGAACTTTCCAAAAAATTACAAAAGCAATCAAACAGAGCTATTATACATCCACACATCATTTTCTTAAGTTTTACCCAATTAATTACCTTAAAGAAGGGGAAAACGATGAGAAAATTACACAGGAAAAATGTATCACTGCCACTGATCTTTATTTTTTCACATGATTGCTGATAGCCCGTTGGTAGTACCGGGTGGAGTGAAGCCACTGGCCTGCCATATTACTATTCCCTTGTTAGACTGCTTGCAATGTAAAAATATGCGATATTGCATTGAAAAACAATGATGTTTTCATTTTCAGGGGGGCTTAATACTTTGAAAATAAAGATGAATTCATCACTCGGACATACCCTTGCTGTTTCGTTGCATAAGTCTATTACTGTGACTTATGATTTAAAAAAAATAGGGAAATCACATTGCCTAGTCAGTATAAAGTCAATGAAGTCTATAAATCATGTAATATGACATATTATACAAATCCATCACAACAAAATAAATGTGTTAACGGAGCACAATAATAGAGATGTGACAAAAGTGCTAAATTGATGATGTACATGTAATATACATGTATTGATGGCATTGTTGTGGTAATTACACATAACATACAATTTCAAGACCTAACATCAAGACTGAATTACAAGGACATGTCTGTTATTTCTATAGTATTGATTTTCAAATTGTACTTGCATGATACCATATGCTTATATGCTGTGTCTTTGCATTAGCCTCTAAAAAATTTTTTTTCGTCAATATAACATGCAATATGTTTCAGCACATCACTTTTTTAAATGAAAAATACAACAAACACTACAAAAACATTTTTTTCTATTGTTGCACGCAGCTGCAGCTCACACTGCACGTCTTTAAACCACGTCGGACTCAGCTCCGCAGTGAGATGGTGCTGCTCTGACTCTTCTATCCAAAAGCCAAATGTGTAGCAGAGGAATATGAATCTCACCAGAGGGAACTGCGCTGCCTTGGCAATTTGTGCTCTTTTGTGCTGAAAGCTCTAAAAAGAAAAGGCAACGACGTATTTGGACAAAGATATGGCTCAGCAAAAGTGGCTACTACAGTCTGTCAATTTTACAGAAAGAACTCCATTTCACCCACACCCTGACATACTTCTGTGTTTACATCTGAGAGGAAGTAGAAAAAGAAGAGTCCTTGTTTGTGCATGCCCACTGAGCGATTTGTCCACGACGGTTGGGAGATTTTCTCCCAACCTCACGATTCCTGATCAGGAGGTGATCCCCCCTTGTTACCCCTTGTACACTACACAACGCACAATCAGGCTGAAAGTCGGCCAGATCGCCGAGATCGGAAACTTCTCGCAGGACTTGAAATTCCCCCCACCCAATCCCACCCCACCCGTAAAGGGCAAAAAAATGCACAGTGTATGCCGGGCTTTACTGTGTATTGAGTGTGGGGAATAGAAGCATGCGAGTCCCCCTGATGGATCCTTCAGGTAATGATGTTAGATTAACCCATATCCCAGCAGGTAACTACTTTAGTTTGCACATTTTAAACAAAACTAGGAAAATGTTAAAATAAAAAGATATATTACAAATAACACAATGTACCCTGCAACACAGGCAGCACTTCTTTTGTTAAAGTGTGGGAGACAGTGGTGAGCGGTCAGAGCCTTCAAGGCCTTTACTGCTGGCCTAAAATCAATCAGAAACACTAACCTACATTCATATCTTAAACTTTAATTTTATTCTATCCAACTGTGTTATTTTTTTCCAAACAATTCATTCCCTTAATTTTGTAGCCTTTTCCTTGCTTCTCCTCTCTGCAATTATGTGTTTGCTATATTTTTGGTCCATTTAGATTTCAGCCTTTGTACGTTGCTTTGTCAATCAAATCTGTCCAGGGGCTTGAAAATCAGCAGTGCTGGCTCATGTTACCTTAACCATATTAGTGAGGAACATTTTCTTCAACTTCAATAAGATTTTAGATTTGCCCCACAGGGCCAGCTAGTGGGCCCACAGGAATGTCAGTATTTTCTGTCCTCTGATTGGTCAGTTTAGCTAAATGTTTACAGCCAAGTAATACTAGCGACAATCTGCATTTCAGATTAACTTTCTGGCCTCAGTGGCTCATAACTAAATGATGATACTAAGAATTCGTGTACAATCACAGAAGTATGGATTTTGTTTACAGGTAATCAGCATCTCTAGAGAGAGTGATATATTTCATTTTCATGCTTTATGTGCTATATTATCTTGTCTTTGGATGCATTTTGAATCTAAATGTCTACTGATGCTGTAAATGTGGTGGATATGTGATAATAGAGTAGAGGTTTTTATATATATATATATATATATATATATATATATATATATATATATATATATATATATATATATAAGTAGAGGAAAGCCATTGTGGTGGACATACTAATACCAAGTGACTGCAACATCAGGTAAAATGAACATGAAAAATTAGAGAAATACCAGGGGCTCAGAGAAGAGCTGGAGAACACCTGGACATTTGTTTTGTCATTATAGCGTCTTACTTATCTTTACACCATGCTTATTCAAGATAAAGCTTCTATGAAGGATGATAATCTTTGCTTTGTGGTCACATCTCTAACAGTGGTATCGGTTAATCTTTACAGGCAGTCTGCAAAAAAAAAAAGGTTTAACAGGAAGGATGAAATAAGTAACAGCCTCTTGCCTAATTACAGCCTCTTCTTACCTAATACATTGACTGATATATACGTATATCTTCTGATCTTTAACTGTACGGTTCCATATCAGCCTCAGTCGCAATTATTCCTGTTTATACCTTCTGCTTGTGTGACATGTTTAGATATAAGCTTCAAATGATACATTTAAAAACTTTGCTTAGTGGCTAATGTTATCCAGCAGGATCTTCCCTTTTTTATTCATGCCCATTTACCTCCAGACAGAAACAGACTGGTGTGGCAGTGGACATACTTCATGTCAGTCCTTACCAAATTAGATCAAATTAGAAACAACACAGTCTTTTAACAATACGTACCTAAAGGACCGGTCTTAATATAACTTAATCTAACTTCAGGGGGAGCAGTGTTGTTTTTTTTCCCTGCTGGGAAACCCTGGACCATCTCTATACCAGCTAAAGGGTGCTTGTAGGTTCCTGGAAGTTTGCACTACTTCTCCACATATGGAGGAGGCCAGGCCCAGTCAAGACTGACTTCTGTTCTGAATGCCTCCTTGGGAGATTTTCCAGGCATTTCCCGGCGGTAGGAGGCCCGGAGAACAGTTCAGAACACATCGGAGAAAAGGTGTTTCTCGGCTCTCTTGGGAACATCACAGGCCAGGTGTCTGGTGAGAGAAAATTATGGTTGCCTCTCTTGAGACTTCTGTCCAATGGACTTGGTTCCAGATAAGCAAAAGATGACAATTATGAGCCTAAGACTCAACTGCATATGAAAAAAGTTTGTAGAAACCTGTCTGTTTACAAGTTTTAAAGCCATCTTTGGAACTTTTAAACAGGTCAATTCAGCAGTGGGAGAATACATATATAGTGCTTGGTTTAGGGGGGTTTATTTGCCATTTATGTATAGACCAAAAGGCCAGGCACATTGGAAATGTATTTCTGGGTTCTTTTTAAGTCAACAGATTAGATAATGAGTAGCTGACATAAGGAATAAAATATAAAATGTAAGTAAGGCATTGTGATAAAAAAGCAACATCCCCCCATGCCAAAGAAAGAACATCAAAAAGCCAT